AGGATCCAATCTAGGATCACAAGTCACATTTAGTTATCATTTCCCTTTAGTCTGTAAGCACTCCTCAAATTCTGTTTCACAACCTTGACACTTTTTAGAACTACCAGGTAGTTACTTTGTAGACTGTTCCTCAACTTGAGTTTATCTGAGATTTCCTCATGATTAGATTCAGGTAATGCATTTTTAGCAGGAATACTACAGAAATGATGCTGTTTCTTTTCAGGGCATCATATTATGAGACATATCATCTCAATTTGTCCCACTCCTTGTTATTAACTTTGATCATTAAGGTGTTGTCTGTCACCTTTCTCTGCTGTAAAAGTACTATTTTTCTCTTTGTAATTAATAAGCTGTTTGTGGCAGACACTTCTTCATCACACTTTTATTGACTGATTTTAGAATCCAACTGACGATTCTTTCTGAATCAATGATAAGTATGACAGGTACCAAATGATGATTTCCTAACTCCATCATTCCCTTCTATATTTATTTGTAAGTAAGAGGTTTTCTTTCTCTCCCATTTATTTATTTATATCAGTATGGACTCATGGATTCTTATTTGATTCAATGAGTTACAATCCATTACTACCATTATTTATTTTGGTGCTAAAATTGCCCCAGATCTGGTCAGTGGGAGGGAACCCGTTTAAGCTGGCACCTGTGTTCTTCTGACATGTCCTCATCATTCTTTGACCATTTCCTTACTTTCTGGCAAAACAAGATGCTCCAAGTTCATCATGACTTTTCCTATCCCATTCCTGGAATTAACCACTTTTCCCAGGAGCCCTGGTTTATTTTAATGGAGAATGGTATTTATAAACCAAGATCTAGTGCTACATGTGCTCATTGCTACTGAGGGTGTCACTGCTTCTAGGTCCTATCAGTGACCAGAGCAAGGAAATATAAATAAATAAATAAATAAATACACACACATCTATCTCTATTCATATATCTAATTTTAAAACATAAATTCATACTGATATCTTTAGTTACAAGCCAATATCATAGGGTTCATTTTAGCACTTCTCATTTCCATATTTGAACTCTTTTCTTTGACAGTGGAAAGTCTATCACCTTTTCTGCTAAGCTTTCTAACTCTGATGTGTGTTGCTTATTCATATCTCCTATCATTTTCTTAGTTTCTTTTAACTTATTTTGAAATAGTGGGTTGCAGTTTTCAACTCTTCTGTAGGCATCTCTTTCTAGCATGACTTCATTTTCTGAAAAGATGTATTCCACTCCATATTATCTTTTATCTTATAATAACTTTATATATATATATAATAACTATAGTATTGTTCATCTTATGTGAAATTAATTTTCCTGAACTTTTAGGAAATACTGAACTGAATAAAGTTTTTAGCTTAATTTTCTAGAGCTCCCTCCTGTTTTTGTGAAAAACTTGAAGAAAATGGCCTTGAACTTGCTCAGATCTCTTGGCTCTGTTCACCTCATCCACTTTTTTTTTTATAATTTTTTTTTAAATTTATTTACTTTTTCTTTTCCCCCCCAAAGCCCCAGTAGATAGTTGTATGTCATAGCTGCACATCCCTCTAGTTGCTGTATGTGGGACGCAGCCTCAGCATGGCCGGAGAAGCGGTGCGTTGGTGTGCGCCCGGGATCCGAACCCGGGCCGCCAGCAGCGGAGCGCAGGCGCTCAACCACTAAGCCACGGGGCCGGCCCTCACCCCATCCACTTTTATCTGAACCTTCTCTTTCCTTCTCTCCTTTTGTCCCTATCCTAGTGGATTTGAATTCTGCTTCCAACAGTTTCTTTTTGCTGGGGGGCTTTATTTTGGATGGAAGCTTCCACTTGTTAGATTCAAGAATTTATAAGGTCCAGACTTCCGCAGGACCATCAAAAATTTTCTCGTGGTCCTTTTGCCCTCACTTCCAAATCAGATCCTACAGAGCTCCCTCTGTGCTCTGGCTGCTGTGCTTGGATTTCCAGTGAGTACCTACTGAGGATTTGGGATTCTCCTGCGCTCGGGTCCATCTGCTATCCCACTGTTTCCCCTGCTTCCTCCTGTCCAGATGCTGATAGCACCTACTTGTATTTGGAGTTTTGTGGGGATACTTTGTCCTTATTGTGTTGTGCATCTTGCCTGTGTGTTCTTGGTTATACTATCCTAGTGGAAGATTACGGGAGAATCCAGGTAGCTTAAAAACTACACAATCTCCACTGCCACCATCTTTCCAGAATTGGTGACTGGATATTTTGTAAAACTCCTCAATGGCTCTCCTACATAGCCGGTGCTGAGACCCACTGATCTAGTTGCTGTGATTGCTCCTTTCATGACCCTTTGTTCCTCAGGATTCAGCCTCCAGTGGTCCTCTCCTCCCACTGTTCTGATCTCCCTTGGCAATCTCACCTTCTTCCATGGCTTCAAACTCTATCTACAGGAGGATGACCACCAAGTCCCAATTGCTTTCCTGACATCACACTCATATCCACTATATGGCTCCACTTGGCCATCCATGGGCAGCTTGGACTTAACTTGTTCACATTTTCTCCTCCTCTGGATGTTCCACATCTCTGTTGTTCCAGCCAGACACCTTGCTACCAGCCTCAACTCTTCTCCTTCCTAAGCCCTAATATCTAATCAATCACCAAGGCTTTTTTATGTAAAATCTCCATCCCCCATGTCTCTGGAATCCATTCAAATCTCCATCCTCACGGCTGCTTCTGTGGTTGAGGCCACCATCTCTGACTTGTTCTTAACTGATCATACAAATTATTGCAATATTCTTCACTGGTCATCCCATTGCCCACCTTAACACAGTTTTCATACGACAACCAAAATGATCTTTCTAGTCACCTCATCCTCCTTGCTAAAACCCCACAACTGCCTCTCTGATGTTCTTAGACTACAACACTATCTTCCTAACATGGCTTAGGAGCATCTGTATATTCTGGTACTGTTTAAATATTCTCAAGTCTTGCCAGTGTCCATCTCACACAAATATCTAGTCATCTGGAGTCTTTCTATTCCTCCAGGCCTTGGCACAGGCTGTTCTCTCTTAACTAAAACACCTTCAAACCAACCCCACAGCTAACTCATCCTTAATTCTTGCAGGGCTTAAATGTCACCTCATGTCCTCTCCTCCCACCAGTCTTACCTTCTAAAGCTCTGCTCGATGCTCCCATGTGATCCTCTGACACTGTTATTCCCACTGACATAGAAATGATCACACTGCTTACTGGGAAAGGCACGAATGCATGTGCAATCTTTAGTACCTATTAGACCCTCAATAACTACTGGCTAAGTGACTAGGGTGACTGATAAGGCAGCCAGGGCCTCTTGACTATAAATCGACCCCATTTTACGTTAATGACACTGTTAATCTAGGATTGTATTCTCTCTCTGGACATTATTTACATATTATAGTAAATAAAATTGTTCTCTTTGACAGCAAGACGTTTATCCAGCTTTCACAGTTGAAGATGCTGGGCGAAGTACACAATAAGACAGACCCCAGACCTGCCCCTCTGAGCTTTAAGTAATCAGGCAACTTTATTTGTTCTGAAAATTATTAACTGTCCCACCGACGTTATGCTCACAACACAATGCTTTGAGTTCAACTGACCCTGACCTCAAAGTATTTTCCAGACACTTTCCAAGAATTTAGAGAACAATTTGTTTCCCCTGAGCTGAGAGGGTCAGGGCAGCGGCATGTGCCGAGGATTCAAGTAACTAAGCCACAGAAAGCAAAAGAACTTGAGCTCGCAACTCCATCCCATACTCCGCACTAAGTATTTGACTACAGTCAAGCGGAGTCCGGAACCTGAGCTGTCCGCCTCAGGCCAGCCCCGCCTCCACACTGGGGCCGGGCCCTGAGCCCCGCCTGGCCCCGCCTCCACACTCTGGACCGGCTCTTAGCCCCGCCCCCCGCCCGGCCCCACCTCCCCGCTCAGCCCCGCCTCCCCACTCCGGCCCAACCCCGAGGCCCGCCTCTCCTCCCGGCACCTCCTCCCTAGTCCGGCCCAGCCCTTAGCCCCGCCTCCTCGCCGGCCCCGCCTCTCCACCCAGCCCCGCCTCCTCATTCTGGCCCAGCCCCCGAGGCCAGCCTCCCC